AAAAAAAAAAAACATTTGTTTTAATACAAGTTTAGAATAGATTTTAGCCCCGTTTGCCAGCACTTATAACTCAACTCCTATAACTTTTTTGCTTAAAAAATAAATAAATAAATAGAGACAAGAGAAGAATTTATATAATGGTGTTTGGCTGCAATTGTAAATTATAGCTTATTTGACTTTTTCATCTTATTGACGGGAAAAAAAAATTTTAACTTATAGTTTTAGATTTTTTAACTTTATTTGAAATCTTAAATATATATAAACAAAAGAGCTTCATCTCTTTTTGTCTTAACTATAATTACTTTTCAGGACATTCTAGATATTTGCAAACAAAAAAGTTAAGTTCCATTACATCTTATTTGACCAATTAGGTTCAACTTTTTTCACAGAATTATCAAAAGTCACACCAAATATATTTACAATTTATTTTAGTTTTTTTAAGCTAATAATTTAAAAAGCTATAATCATAAAAGTTAAATTTATAAATGATATCAAACGGGATCTTTGTAGTACAAAAAGAAAGAGGCTGACAAGGAAGATAAAAAATAAATAAATATCAAACGTCTAAGGTTGCTAATTGAAGGGATGCATTTTAATTTAGGTACGATTCTTAGTTTTAATTTTTTTTTTAAATTTTAATTGAGTGTATTATATATAGGAAGGACTCTTAATTAAAAAATAAAAAATAAAAAATAAAAAATGAAAGATTAATAGGGAGAAACACGTAAAACGTTAGGTAAGAGTTTCCTCTTAAATTGAATTTTTATTAGGAGTATTCTTACTTTGATTTTCTAACTGCGCATTATATTTAGGAGGGGCATCTCTTCTTCACGGTTGAGCCATAAACCTAGAGTTTACGGCACCCAACCATCTTTTGCCACTTATATCAGTTTGGTTTAATATTCTCATACAATCTTAAGTTGTCAAGCACTAGATAATTTCCTTACCCTTCTCAGTTTCCCACCCCTCAGTTTCTTCCTTGTCTCCAGCACAATCAACGATGTCAAGTCTGACTAGCAAGATGAATTGAGATGGTTACAGAGAGATTATCTAGTGCTTGAAAAACAATTTCCCCCTCTCTTCCTTTCCATCCAGCATCACCCACCCACACTAACACCATTCTCCTTTGCAACCTCCAACCACCGAAATTTCTACAATAATCAAGGTCATTGTTGCCACAGTCCAGTCAACAATGGCCACAATTGACATGGTTGCGAGCCATATAGAAACCCAATCATATTGTGTTGTTTGTAAAAAGACCTGTCAATTAATGAAGTTCCCCACAATTCTGCACCATGAATTGCTGACTGATAGTAAGAATTTTTTCGAGTTGAATGGAGTCCAAAATGAGCAAATCAAACAAGAAATGATGAGGAGGCTGTATAGGGTTAGCCATAGAGGTTGCATGGCGGTGGGCTTGTTGTTTGGAGACTCTCAGGAAGAAGCAAAGGATGGGCGGTGCGAGAGGTGGCTGGGGGAAAGACGGGGGCGGTAGTTGGCTGCGTGGGCTGGGGATGATTGTCGACTGTGAGGGTTGGGGGAAGAGGGAGGTAGCAGTGGTTGGTTATGTGGCACAGGAAGAGGGAAGGGAACGCAGAGAGAGCATAAGGAAGAGAGAGGGAGAAGGGGAGAGAGGTTATCAGATGAGGGAGGGTGTATGAGACTGGGTGATTTATCTTTGGTGGAACCCAAATTGGTTGATGTGTCTATTTTCAATTGGCTGTCCGTAAACTCAAAGGTTTACGGCTCAGCCACGAAGAAGTTATTCCTATTTAGGTAGGAGTCCTAACAGATAAGGTATTGTTTGCTTTTTAGTTTTATTACCTATTGCTATCCATGTCATCAGAAGGAGGAAGAGGATTTGCAAAATTTTGGACTTGGACTCATAAATCTCAACAGAAACTCAATGGCAAGAACAATAACATAATCATAAAAAAATTATAATAGACACAAACAAGAAAAAATTCAAGAACTAGATGTTTATCTCTAATGAGATGATCCAAAGGTAAAAATACAACTGTTAGTTAATATTTTTTTAAAATATTATCTCTAATGAGACGATCCAAAGGTAAAAATACACCCAAAATAGATGCAAAAACACAAACCCATTAAACATTGATTCACAAACACCCAAATACCATTCTCCTCAAACAAAATATGAAAAATTAAAAGCAAACCCATAATAATATATGTTTCCAATTCTGTTATTTCTTGGTGCTTTTACCTTCAGAGTGGCCACTTCCTGCCCCCTCGGCCGCCTTCTTCGCAGCCTTCTCTTGAAGTGCCTTCCCATCGCTACACATATGCATGAATATAAACAAATCTGAACCGTAATTAAGCAACCAATTACTATCAAAACTATTTGAATTTTTGGGGCAAAAAAAAGATAAAAATTGAACCTTTCGCGACGCTGCTCGGGGGTTAATCCATCGTCCTTGCCTTTACCCTTGGCGGTGCCTCGAGCCTGAGCTCTTTCGCGATCACGATCCCTCTGGTTACCACGTTAGATCGAATCAAGGAAAACCCATCTCAAATCGAAACACACACACACACATATATATATATATACATATCTACGTATACATAAACAAACATATTTATATACAATCAAAATTGAGAATTGAGAATTGATTTGATGAATTAGAATGTGAATTTGAATCGAAAACATGAAAAATTGTCGAGCAAAAACCAAAATTGCAGAATTTTTTATGAAGTTGCAAAATTTTTTTTTGTTGCAGAATTTTTTTTGCAAAATGCAGTGCAGTTATGAGGAATAGTTCAGTGAATTCATACGTAAGAGAACTTACCAAATAGAAACACAACCAATCATATATCCACAGGCTGCTTTCAAGTCTTATGAAGTTGCAGAATTTTTTATGAAGTTGTAGAATTTTTTTTTATTGCAGAATTTTATTTTGCAAAATGCAGTGCAGTTATTAGGAATAGTTCAGTGAATTCAGAACAAAATGGAAAATGCAATGATGCTATAACTGCATGAGGACGGGAGATGTGGGAAGTGGGAAAGTGAATTGGTTGTTTCAATTTACGATTTTATCCCTAATTAAAACTGATGTAAGTGTAAGGAATTAAGGTCATTTTAGGGAAAATTGAAAAAAAAAAATTGAGAAGTGGCTTCATGACACCAAAATTGGTGTTGGCTTTTAATAATAGAATAGATAGAATGTGAATTTGAATCGAAAACATGAAAAATTGTCGAGCAAAAACCAAAATTGCAGCTTTTTTTATGAAGTTGCAGATTTTTTTTTTGTTGCAGAATTTTTTTTGCAAAATGCAGTGCAGTTATTAGGAATAGTTCAGTGAATTCATACGTAAGAGAACTTACCAAATAGAAACACAACCAATCATATATCCACAGGCTGCTTTCAAGTCTTATGAAGTTGCAGAATTTTTTATGAAGTTGTAGAATTTTTTTTTGCAAAATGCAGTGCAGTTATTAGGAATAGTTCAGTGAATTCAGAACAAAATGGAAAATGCAATGATGCTATAACTGCATGAGAACTGGAGATCTGGGAAGTGGGAAAGTGAATTGGTTGTTTCAATTTACGATTTTATCCCTAATTAAAACTGATGTAAGTGTAAGAAATTAAGATCATTTTAGGGAAAATTGGAAAAAAAAATTTGAGAAATGGCTTCATGACACCAAAATTGGTGTTGGCTTTTAATAATAGAATAGATAGATAGATAATAGTATAGATAGATAGATAGATAGAAGATATATATTAAATTCTTGAGTTTCACCAATCGAGGATCTACTCGAACCCGCCCGCCAACTAAATTGACATGAGCAGTCATTTTCGAAATTACAAACGGTTGAGATTGGCTTGAAAAATTGTAACCCGATCATGTTCGGTTAGATTGCGGGTAAAGGGAAAACCCAACCCGACCCAACACATGCACAGGCCTAACAGAGATCAACATCAAAGCTTAAGGTCCTAAAAGATTGTAAAGACGGAATATCCTTGACAAAGACGATGAGACAACCTATCTGTTTTTTCACTTTGTCATGCCTATAAAAAGATGATCATATTCCTTTGTGCTCTTTTATCATGAAGTATTTGTAAAATATGATTTTTCAAATTATAAACTTTCCAGACAAGAAAGTATGGAAAGAATATCATTTCATGTTTAAATATATACACCTCTATATGCATGCATATGTGTACTAGATCAGAACGAAATAAACTATTCATACATATGTATATGTATATAGATTACAAAAGGACACTTTCTTCTTCGTTCCTTACATATACCCTCATCTCTTCAATGTGAAATTATATATTTAGCCATCTCAAAGTCAAAGGGATAAGAATTTTTCACCAACAGCAAAGCATTCTCAAGTCCCTGCGTGAGAAACCCCATGTATTACCATCAAAGTTTTTAAAGGTGAAAGCCCAAGGCGAGGCGTTATACCCCTCGCGGGGTGAGTGTAACCCTTAAGACATTGAGGCGTAAGCTTTTTGATTTTTAATTTTTAAAATAAAATATAATTAATTAAAAATAGTATAAAAAGGAGTTTAAAAAAATTACTAAAATTTATAAAAAGCCATTCCAAACAACACAATGGGAGCTTTTAAATACAGAGACAATTTTTTTCTTCTCACCCACTACATGTATCATCACTAAAGACATTTGTATATATTGGTGTACAGAGATATTGTGTCTTTTAAAAAGAGGCCACCACCATGGGAGAGTAAATTGAGCAACAAAATCGAGTATTACAAGAGAGAGAGAGAGAGATGAAGGGACATGGATTGAGAGAAACAGAGAGGATTACCTGTTGGGCTGTTGCAAATCTGAAAATCTGACTTGAGAAGCAACAAATTGAAGGTGAAAAAGATCAATCAAAGCTAGAAATCGTTTCATAGATCAGAAGCCAATTAACTGTTGAATCAAAACCCTACATTTGCCTTCTTGTTGTATTTCTGAGATGCCTATTACTTTTCCACATATATATATTTTTTAATATAAATTTAAGCCTCAGTACTCGTTAGGCTTGCGCCTTGACCATTGAAGCGCAAAAGGCGTGTCTGAGGCAAACGCCTAGGCCAAGATACATACGCCTAGTTGGTGTCGAGCATAAAATTGAACGCCTTGAGGCATTCTTGCCCCGCCTCACCCTGATGTGTGACTAAACTTTGCCTTTGAAAACAATGATTATCATAGCAACAAGTTCAATCAAATATGGTCTAGATGAGCTAATAGCATTCTGTCACACATTTTTTAATATAAATTTAAGCCTCAGTACTCGTTAGGCTTGCGCCTTGACCATTGAAGCGCAAAAGGCGTGTCTGAGGCAAACGCCTAGGCCAAGATACATACGCCTAGTTGGTGTCGAGAATAAAATTGAACGCCTTGAGGCATTCTTGCCCCGCCTCACCCTGATGTGTGACTAAACTTTGCCTTCGAAAACAATGATTATCATAGCAACAAGCTCAATCAAACATGGTCTAGATGAGCTAATAGCATTCTGTCACACATAAACATTGCTTAAGCCTAATCTTATATAACAATTTTGCAGCCAAGTTTTTTCTTGCAACCACCTCCCGGCCTTTTCAACATTTCCAGTCTTCTTGAAGTAAAAGCACTAGGCAAAACATTCTACTTCTGTTCACCTAACAGATCTTAAATTTCATCGTCTAGATATATTGTAAGGTTTAAAACATAATATCTGAGTGCACTTTTACATGTACAAATAATTGAACAGATGTTACTCTAACATCCTCATCAAGGAAAACATGTTCACCAGCTAGACAATTTATATAATGCTGAATTCAGGTCTAAGTTCCATCTTCTGTTAGTATTACTAACAAACAATCATATCATATTTCGATCATCCTTGGAGCCATTAAGACATCAGAACATAACAGGTTCCGATAAAATCAGTGCCAATCAATTAATACAAGCACCAAGCCTCCCAAATGAAAACAGTTCCACAATCTATAAGCAATATTCTCCAATATTTCCAAACAAATCATAATTAATAACACTGAAACACAATAGCATCAGAAATTTGCAGAATGCAGAGTTTTCTTCACTCTACGGTGGTGACATATATTAGATGTTTAAATGACGTCAAAGCCTATATTAAGAATAGTTTACAAAGAACCAAAATAACATTTCACTTGAAAGCAAAGCTATCTCACAATCCCTTCCCACTTTCTCATCCCACCCTTCCACCATCATCTTTCCTCTAAATTAATAATAATCAGTACCAGTCCTTCAACCCAAAATATCTTTATCTTCTATGTTAACTATACCTCTGCTAGAATTATTCAGCTAAGTCTTGACACAAATGCTTTTGTAACTAAAGATCTGTAATTGTCCTCAACAAGCTTATCTCATAACTACTATAAATCAACACAAAAACTTATCCCTAAACACTAACTCATTTTGCAATTTTTTCACATGATAAGCAAGGAAACCTTGCATGCCTTCCAATCCTCAAAAAAACCAAACTCCACTTGGACAGAAATATTTTGAAACTGCAACCTCCACTTTGCCCCCAGGATTTATTGAAAAAACAGAAAAAATTTAATCTCAATCATAATCTAATTACTAAATCCTTCAGTTTCACACTGTTCAAAATTCCACCAAATTCCTGCTAAATTTATTTAGTGATTTCAAAAAAACAAAATAAAGATCAGATCAATCTGAAAAGGTTAGCAATATGATTGGCATGAATTAGATCCTATGAAAAATTAGCATCAATTAAATAGATTGAGTTTAGAGCAAATTAAAAAAACAAGAACAAATTCCATGAAAATCAAAGAGTGAACAAATTTCATGAAAATCAGAGAGTTCAAACTAGTGAATCAGGTCCACCTACATAATAGGAAAACAATTGTCCTTACAAAAGTGCATCAAACCAGTCCAATTTGTTTTTCTTTTTAAGGTCATGTAAGAAGCTTTTGCATGCCGTCCCCAACAAGAAGCCTCTTAATCACCAATGATTTAGGGTTGAGTACAGCACATATATTAATATCCATTGAGTATTGAAATCACTTTATCACCACCTTCCAAGTTCAGGGCAAGTTGGCAACCTTTTGGTCGATGAAAAATTTTGGAAGATAATTATTGGCATGAGAGGCATGCCAACACCACTTGCAACTTGCAAGTTGCAACTGAACCATATACTCAAGTCACTAAACCAGGGAAAGAAGATGCAAAAGGCATAAAAGGTGGACCTGTTATGCGTGATGTGTGAACTATTTGGAGGGAGAGGAAAATGAGAACTTTTGAGGAAGCTAATTTGGGAATTCAGACTGAAATTCTACATTTGTTTCACTTTGGTTAAGAGAAAAGCTGTAAGATTTTATATTTTGCTTTTGTAGGTTTTACAGGATGTGCTAAATTAAGTCAGTTTTTTTGGCTAAAAACAAAAAGTCTATTTGTCATCGGCTTAAAAAGCCAAACGTCCCACCAACTTTTTCACTCACAAAAAAAAGTAACTTTTTAGCAACTTCCAAAACAAATGAACTTGTTTTAGCTTCTAAAAGAGGCAAAAAGCCACTAAAAACCCAAATATCAAACACCCTCTGGGGTGGTTTTGGGAAGTTGGTAAAAGCTGGCTTTTGACTTTTTACCAAACTTTTTAGCTTTTTTGAAAAGTGATTTGCGAAGTTGGTAAAAAGCTGACTTTTGACTTTTTGGTATAATATTTGTTTATAGTGTCAAATCAAATTAAAATGACCAAAATACCCTTACTCAACATAAGAAATTTACTTTTTTACTTTTTTGTCGTAGGCCCCAATTTATAATTTTAACACTTGTGTTTTTCTCTCTCCCCAAATGAATTTTTGTTGCGTTTTTTGCTGCTAGCTTTTTTCTCCTTGGATAAAAAACGTGACTTTTTACAAAACTTCTCAAAACGGTATGTGTCGTTTTGGGAAGTTATACTGTTTTGGGAAGTTTTGTAAAAACCCACGTTTTTTATCCAATGGGAAAAAAACTGATAGCCAAAAACGCAACAAAAATTCATTTGGGAAGAGAGAAAAACGCAAGTGTTGAAATCACAAATTGGGGCCTATGACAAAAAAGTAAAAAAGTAAATTTCTTATGTTGGGTAAGGATGTTTTGGTCATTTTAATTTGATTTGACACTATAAACAAATATTAAACCAAAAAGTCAAAAGCCAACTTTTTACCAACTTTCCAAATCACTTTCCAAAAAAGCTAAAAAGCTTGGTGGTTTTGGGAAGTTGGTAAAAAGCTGGTTTTTGACTTTTTACCAAACTTTTTAGCTTTTTTGAAAAGTGATTTGCGAAATTGGTAAAAAGCTGACTTTTGACTTTTTGGTATAATATTTATTTATAGTGTCAAATCAAATTAAAATGACCAAAATACCCTTCCCCAACATAAGAAATTTACTTTTTTACTTTTTTGTCGTAGGCCCCAATTTGTAATTTCAACACTTGCGTTTTTCTCTCTCCCCAAATGAATTTTTGTTGCGTTTTTGGCTGCCAGCTTTTTTCTCCTTGGATAAAAAACGTGACTTTTTACAAAACTTCTCAAAACGGTATGTGCCGTTTTGGGAAGTTATACTGTTTTGGGAAGTTTTGTAAAAACCCACGTTTTTTATCCAAGGGGAAAAAAACTGATAGCCAAAAACGCAACAAAAATTCATTTGGAAAGAGAAAAAAACGCAAGTGTTGAAATCACAAATTGGGGCCTATGACAAAAAAGTAAAAAAGTAAATTTCTTATGTTGGGTAAGGGTGTTTTGGTCATTTTAATTTGATTTAACACTATAAACAAATATTAAACCAAAAAGTCAAAAGTCAACTTTTTACCAACTTTCCAAATCACTTTCCAAAAAAGCTAAAAAACTTGGTAAAAAATCAAAAGCCAACTTTTTACCAACTTTCCAAAACACTCGTATATGTTGGCCCTGTTTGGTACAGTTTTTTTTCAGCTTATTTCAGCTTTCAGCTTAATTTAAGTTATTTTGATGTGTTTGGTTTAGTTTAACAATGCATCTTATAACTCTTTGTAAGTCAGAAATCAGCTTATTCTTTGAGTGGGGTAGGAGAAACTTAATTTATAAGTCAGAAATCAGCTTATGTTCATAGTAATAAGCTATAAGCTGTTAAAGCATAAGCTACAAGCACTTTCCCACAGCTCTACCAAACAGGGCCGTTGTATAGTTGAGTTTTGAGATATCTTTTCATAAAATCTTGGTGTACACAAATAGAATTGATTTCTCTAAGGAAAAACATCTCTTCTTCTCCAAGCCCTCTTCTAACATAGATGACTAGTTCATTCAACCTCCTTTAATTGATCCCTTTTTTCTTTGATGAGAGATGAAAATAATGCGTTTCATGCACTACGTACCAAAAAAACAAAAAGAAACATAATTGAATTATAATTAACCACACATATCATAGTTAATTGTAATGATTTGATCACAAGTTGAATCACACAAATCAATTCATTTTCCAATAAAATAGCACAATTCAAACCTTGTTGGTTGAAACTTGTATTGATTCGCCAAAATTTAATTTAATTTTCATAATGCAAGAAATGACGTCATTTACACAAAAACAAAATAAAAAGATAGATCAATTAATTATATTCTAAGAAACACATACATGGATACGGCTGCAGATACGAGACACAGCGATTTTACAAAAATAAAGATATAGACACGGCGGACACACGGCAATAAAATATGTTTTCATATATATATATTGCTATCTAGATTAATATTACATCAACAAACAATCAATATTAACAAAAATTAACTCTAATTATATTTTTTTATTTAAAACAATACTTTCAAATTAACACTTATAGTTTATATATTTTTTATGGATAATCTATTAAGTATTTAAATCTTTAAAAAAAAAAAGAACATTCAACATTCATCAAAAGTACTAAATAAAATGAGAGAAAAGACAACCTAGCATGTCCCTAGTGTGTTCCCTGGAAATAAATTAATGAAATAAGAGGACACGCCATGTGTGTCCCATACGTATCCCCGAAGTGTCGGCTTGTCCCTAAAACGTCTGTTTGTCCAACACGGATATGACACTTGTTTTGAAGTGTCAGTGCTTTATAGATTATATTGATATACGTGACTTTATAAATACACACACACATATATACGTATATGCAATTTAGTTATATTGATATTTATTTCATATATAAAATTATATATTATTCACTATTTTAGCGAAACAATTCATGAATTGATAGTTGACTTGATGACAATGCTAAGAATATTTAAATAGTTAACCAAAATTACAGCAGGGAGGGATTACCCCCTCCTTCACAACAATTAAACCCTACCCGTCCCATTACGAGTGGAACGGGTTAGGCAGGAACACAGTCAGCCAATCGGTTGATCTTTCCATCCCTAGGAAGAACCTATCCATATTATACTGGAATCTTATTTTCTTTCCTTTTATGTCGTAAAAAGAAGTAATGGCAGGTGCAATAGAAAGGGGTATTGGTGTAACAAGTGCAGCAGCTATCAAGTTTGCCTTTTTCATTCCCCAAAACAGAAAACCTATCATTGGTAACATTGCTAATGGAAACAACTTAAACATGTTTTCTTCCTTCTCTTCACATAAGCACAATCCAAAGAAATATGCTAGCATTAAATTTTCATTTCCAAGAACAAACTTCATTTCATGAATTCCAGCAAGTAAATATAAAGTAAGAAATTGGCCAGAAATTCAATGCGATAAATCAAAATTCATGAGTTTCTTACTGAAGAATGCAATCAATCAAAAACAAAGTTCACCTCAAACTTGCATTATCTAACACATATAAAAAAATCCACATTATCACATAAAAAAGCTAGCATAAAAAAACAATAAGATTAACAATAATCCTCCATAACTCAAATTCAGCAAAAACCCTAAAATCAAAATCAAATTCAAGAAACAAACCATAACCTCAAATTGTTTTAACTCTCAATCTTCCGGAACCTCAACATCGCCATCGGAGATCTCCTGCTGCAAATCCTTAGGGTTTTTACCATCCACAGTACATCCAACAGACACACAAGTACCCAGAATCTCCTTCACAGTCCCTTTCAATTCCTTGGCCATGGACCTCGGCTTCATGACCTTGGCAATCTCGATCACATCATCGAGAGAGATGTTGCCAGTGTGCTTTATGTTCTTAGTCTTCTTGCGATCGCGCTCGGGCTCCTTCAGGGCCTTGATGACCAGCGCCGCCGCGGACGGCACGACGGAGACCTTGGCCTGGCGGTTCTGCACCGTGAGCTTCACCGTCACTCGGAGGCCCTTCCAGTCCTTGGCGGTCTCTTTGGCGATGTCTTCTCCGATTTTCTTCGGGGAGAGACCGAGTGGGCCGATTTTGGGGGCGAGTGAGCTCGCCGCGCCGACCTCGCCGCCGGTGACTCGGACGTAGACATCGACGACTTGCGATGGATCGAACTTGGGCGGCATTGTGGCGGCTCTGGAGACCTCAGGAGGGTTGTGAGTGCCGCAGTAAAGAGGAGCAAATGAGGAAGATTTTTGGGGGGTTATATAAATCTAGGGTTATTACAAGAGACTGCACATGTCAAATTGAGTAAATTTTCTTTAATAATTGAAAAAAAAAAAAAAAAAAAAAAAAAAAAAAAAAAAAAAAAGATTGTGTAAGAAAATTATTGAAGAACAAAAAGCCAAGTAAGCCAAATTTTATTTAAAAAATGGTTTAAGCATTTTTACATTTTTCTAAAACTTTCTACTTATTGAGCTTGCTTGTTTCTAATTTTCAAAAAACACTTTTTAGAAAAATTTACTTTCTTATTTTTCGTATTTTTTTGTTTTTATTGAACTTTTTAAATATTTTAAATAATTTTTTTTACTTTTTAGACACACCTAACATAAATACACCTAAAAAGTAAAAAATTTGAAAAAAAATCTTTTAAAAATTCACTAAATATCAAAAATACAAAAAAATATAAGAATTCAGTACATTTTTTATATTTTTATGTATTTATTAATTTTTAAAAATATTTTTTCACAAATTTTTTACTTTTTAGATGTATCTAAGTAAGGTGCATCTAAAAAAATAAAAAAAATGTTTAAAATTTTAAAAATATTCACTAAAAACAAAAAAATACGAAAACCAAAAAACTCAATTTTCAAAAAACTTAATCCAAAAAACTCAAATCAAACACACTGATTAATGTTTAGGATTATTTAGTCTAGATACATTTAAAAAATAAAAATATTTTGATCCAAAGTTAAGGTTGTGGTTTCTCTCCGATTCAAATCGGATTAGAGGGTGTTATTGGGTTTTTATGGGCTTATTATGGAGTTCACATCGATGATCCGAATAATGTTTGAGTGGCTATCGATATCTAACCAACGTAATTTTTTACAGGAATAAAATGCTTAATAAGGCTTACATATTGAATAATTTGAATTATCGACGTGGCCTCTGTAGTAGGCCTATGGAGGCCCAACTGGAGAGGAGCCTCTCCCCAAAGTTAAAAGGAGTATATTAAAGACAAAAATAAAGTGATAAAATAAGTTAATATATGATAAAATTGAAAATTAATTTTTGAAATTAATTGAATTTTTAACCTAAAAATTTGTTTGGTATTTATTGAAATTTGAAATTTAAAGTTTTTATAACAAAAAGAAAATCTTAGACTCTTTATATTTGTCGTGGTGGGCTAGTAGCCACATGATGGTGGTGGTGTAATACGGTGCGAGCAATGGTGATAGAAATAATAAGATAGTGGCAACAATAATAGTAGTGGTGGTCTTTTGGTTATGTGAGGTAAGATAGAGTTAGTGACAGTGATGGTGATGATAATGACAATAATTGTAAAAATAAAATTATGGTGTTAGTGGTGGTGATGTAATAGTAGCGATTTCATGGTGGAAATAAAGAAATAGTGACGAGATGACGATAGCGATGGAGTGACAATAGTGTGGCAATGTTTGTTGTAGTAATGGTGAGAGTGATTATGTAATGGTGATGATGGTGCAACACTTGAAAATTTTAAATTTTAATTAATTATAATTAAGATCCTAATTATTTGTTTAATTACTTTCTTAATTAATTAAGTTCAATCGGTTACTTAAACATCATGCATGAACACTTTTCCGCTTTGATTTAAAATTCGATAGATAGAATCTTCGGATTTGGTATAAATCTTTCTGTATTAATATTATTAAAATGAGAGATTTGAAAATGTTTCAAAATTGAAACAAAAAATATCATGCCTTGTTTGGTTTGCTTTTGAGAGTGTAATTTTGAAAGAAAAAAATTCAAAATTTTGTTTAGCTAAGGCATCATTTAGGAAGAAGAATATGGGGCTTTTTTGGCTATTTTAGCCACAAAAGACAAAGTAGGTTATTTTAGCCACAAAAAATAAAATATCATATCCAATCCATAATCATTATATTCTTCTCTCACAAAAAAAGTCAAAAAAGGCAAAAAACCAAAAAATCCTTCCCAAACCAAGCTTTTTAACCCAGGCTAAAATAGCCAAAAAAGTAAAAAAAAACCAAAAAACTAACCCACTTCCCAAACCAACGCTAGTAATTTTGGAAAAAAATTCAAAAATCATTTTTTATCTTTTCTCTCTCATTTTCAATCACTTTTTTCTCACACACATCTATTCAACAATAACAAAATATCAAATCATCCCAAATTACCATACTCCAAAACTATTTCGAGAATATACAACTAAACAAATCAAAAAAAATTTTAAACTCTCTCCTTAAATTTTTTTTTTGAAAATTTACTTTCCAAAACCAAACCAAACACACCCCAGTCTCTTGAAATTGAGAATTTTGGTTGAAATTTCTTGATATTTGGGATTAAATTTACATTTTTTGGTTAAAATTTCTATTTTTAGGTATGAATTCTCCTAGTTTTGTATGAAGTTGCCAATTTCTCAAAACTGAGAAATTTCTTGAATGAAGTTCCTTATCTCTGGTCTATCTTGTTCCATGGATGGCTACTTTATGGTCATGTTTGTTTGGACAGATTGAATTATGTTGGATTGATATTTTTATGATTAATAGTTTTAGGATTACGAATCATTGGGATGTATATCCTATCTTATGTTTGGATTGAGTTAGGATTATAAGGAGAGATTAATAGTTCAGACTTTGACTTAATCCTCCAATTTATATTTCACTTTGGCTTAATCCTCTAATTTATATTTCACTCCCTCTGTGGGATTGAATAGTCCATTGTATGTAGAATACCATATCCAAATGAATTGTTAATCTGTGCTTTAATTATTTAACCCAATATCAAATTAATAATTTTATTAACCTATTAATCCAATCCCAAATTTATATCTACCCAAATAATATGACCTATATGTATTACCGTCAGTGTTTGCAAAGAGCATGAGGCCAAGTTTGGCAACTCAAAAATGATCTATCTTTTTATTTTTTTATCGTATCACCTCTTTACTTTTCTGAATATCTTTTATAAAAAGATAAAAAATACACATATTTAATTCATTCCAAACAATCCCTGAGTGTGAACTATTTTATGATGAACGGTAATGGTATGAGTCCATTCATATTTTCAACATTGGACAAGTCGTGACTTTGTTCACATGAGAGAGAAGGTATAGAGTTAACAAAATTGTGATTTATTTTAAGGGTCATGCTCCGGAACTCTAATTAGAGCTACAACACTGCAGCTCTAATGAGCTGTCCAACCATAAAAATAAAAATAAAAAACAAAAAGCAAAAAACAGAAAACAGAAAACAGAAAACAGTGAAGTAAAAGACAAAAAAGAAGGAAGAAAAAAACAAATTAGAGATGCATTAGAGGTCTTTGTTTAATGGTCCAAATCATTTTTGTTATTTTAATTGATGGACACATGACAGTGAGATGGAACAGACTTTTGGGACAGATGATTGGAGTGCCGTTTATTTTGGGAGTTAGGTGAAGTGAAATTGTTGGTGGGAGAATTAAAAAAAATTGTATTTGTTTGATAACTAATAAATTAATAATAGTTTATGTTTATTATAAGAAATATGAGTGGGATTAAGTATGTAAAATTTTAAAAATATTTTTAGGGTTACTTTAAGTATAATTAATACCATATGATTATTAAAATAAATAATTTAATAAAGTATAAATAATTTAATAAATAATTTTTTTTAAAAAAAGATATTAAGGGGTCGTTTGGTTTTCATTTGGGACTAAAAAATCACAAAATGACAAAATAAGCAAAAAGACAAAAAAAAAATACACAATTCCAAAGTCAAAAAAGCCAAACAAGAATACCAAACGACTAAAAAGTCTTAAGCTAAAAAGTCCAAAAAGCCAAAAAGCTAACTAAAAAATTCATTGCCAAACCAGCCCTAAATAGTAGAGGGTCAAAAATGTAATTTCACTACCTAATTCCTTGGGGCGAGTTATCCTATGAATTGTATCCCATCCCCCCCCCAACCCAAAAAAAAAGGATAGAACAATCCCATAGATTTGGGATTCATAGTCCGGCACAAAAATTTTAAATGAAACAACGGATTATTAGTCCGGATGAACTATTAATTTTATCCCATGCTTGAATGTTTGTTTGAGAGGATTGAAGGATAAGATAGGACTCCATATTCATTCTATGTAATAATTCAATATTTGATTCAAAAAATATGAGTTGTACTGTCATTCCCTTATTTGTAGGATTATTGTGTCCCATGGAAGATGTGGGATACAAAATGATGGGATAACTCCTCATTCAGATTAGAGGAATAATTGATATTTTTGGCCCTCCGAATTATCATTGTACTTAGTAACATAAATAAAATAAAATTTAAAAATTTCAATTAAAAATTAAAATAAATTTATTTAATTTTTATAAATGTTCTACTTATTTAGTTTTTAAAAGTTCTAGCTAAAAAATAAAATATAATTTATAACTCAGATTTTATATTTATATTATTTAATAAACAATTCAAAAGGATAAAATAGTCTTATGAGCAATTATACTTCTTCATAATATTCCAAACAAGCATATGATTCAATAGAATAGTCATTTTCTGACATCTAATCTTATGACTAAACAAATATGGGATACACATCATTTTCAATCAAATAGTTCAGAGATTGTATATCAGAATTAACAGTCTGATAGATTACAATCCCATTTATCCAATCTGTCTGAACAAATATAATCTTATTGCATTACTATCAAATTTGGGCTTGAGATACCAACTAACAAATGCATTACCCAATTAAACTACTCAAAAACCAAAATTAAAAAAATAGTGAAGTATCCAACTATCAATAATTTTTTACTAAATGTTAATCTTTTTTTAATATTAAAGAATTCAACTATCAATAAAATTTTACTTAATTAATGTTATTCATTCAACAAAACCCATTAACTGGTTATGTTTAATTATTTCATAAAGAAGAATATTAATTATTCATTCAAAATTATTTCATAAAGAAGAATTTTAATTATTCAATTCATATATGTTCTAAAACCATCTCCAATAACGTCGAT